TTTAAATTTAATTTAGGCTGATGATGTTCTCGTTCCCTTCTTTGTCTGCTGTCTTTTGTATTGAGTTTTCTAAGGTTTTTGGTACGATTTTCTTTATATGAAATCCAGAGTAGGTAAATCTAATCTATGCATATAGTAACTAAATTAATAGTTTCTTAAGCCTATGGCACGTGAGGTTGGGGGAATTGATTTATTAGAGTTTAAGAAAAATAATGAAAGTTTTCCACACAAAAAACAACAAAAAAACCAAATCCAAAACCAAGAATGAAGAAATTGCTTGTGGCGATGACTGCACAATTCTTTGCGGAACTCCCGCGGCGTGGCGGTTACGCGCTGGGTCGGCGGTTCAAAGCCACCAGAGGGAGCGGACTGCGCTTTCTACACCAGGACGCGGTAGTTTCAGAAGCGCACCGTCTCTAGAAACAGCATGGACCGGATGGCAGTGAATTTTTACATGTTTAAGCCGTTGAATGGCATGTGAATTGTTAATAGGACTGTTAATGCTTATTAAAAAAAAAAGTTGCACGAATTCTGGAATCCGAGATCGCAGAAGGCGTTAGCCAAAATAGCTGTTTTAGCACTGTGGCCAAAATATGGAACGCTTCACGAATTTGCGTGTCATCCTTGCGCAGGGGCCATGCTAATCTTCTCTGTATCGTTCCAATTTTAGTATATGTGCTGCCGAAGCGAGCACAGCTACAGAGCTTCCACCAAGAATATATAAAAGTCAAAATTGAAAAATACTTAACAGTTAGGGCTACCATTGGGGTAGTTATATGTTAACATAATTTACCGTACTCATATGGGAGAGAACACATGCTCTAGTTAAATTTACTTTACGTGTCTTTGATCACGTCTAAAATCCTCAATCGTTTCCCTCTTCTGCAGCCTAAGCGTGGACAGCAGACGCGAAGGCTTGTGGGAGATAATATGTAGACGAACCGGCTCGGATGCAGCCCCGCCCCTCACCCCCCGGAGCCAGGAAGAGGGTGGGAGGGGCGGGCCTCCGCGGGAGGCCGCCGGCATCCCAGCGTTCTCCGCGGGCGCAGGGGACGCTCTAGCCTGCCGGGAGCGACTCGGTGGCACCTGCTGGGCCGAGGCCGGATGAGGAGGCGGAAGATGGCGGCGACAGCCGGGCTGCGGTGAGGATCGCGACGGCGGCGGCGAGAGGCCAATGGCCGCCGGGGCGCGCCTCAGAGGACCTGCAGATTGCTAGGGCCCGACCCTGGGCGGCATGTCGGAGCACGCGGCGCCCGGAGCCCCGGGGCCTGGGCCCAACGGTGGCGGCGGCGGCGGCGGCCCGGCCCCCGCGCGCGGGCCTCGCACCCCCAACCTGAACCCCAATCCCCTCATCAACGTGCGCGACCGCCTCTTCCACGCGCTCTTCTTCAAGATGGCCGTGACCTACTCGCGCCTCTTCCCGCCCGCCTTCCGCCGCCTCTTCGAGTTCTTCGTGCTGCTCAAGGTGACAGCGGCCTCAACCCTTGACCCCTGCGGGCACCCGGGAGCCCAGTGCCTGCACCCCACCTCCCGGTCCCAGATCCCCGGCCGCGCCTCCCTCCAGCACCCACATCCGTCCCCAGCCCCTGCCCGCCTTCCCAAGGCCGGGGTCCAAACCTGCGCACGGCCCTGCAGACCCCCGCCGGCGGGCCCCAAGCCCCTGCCCTGGGCTTTGCCCAGAACGTACCTCCTGCCGCCCCTCACCACCTGTCTGCCCTGGGGCTCCACGCCCCCTTTTCTATAACCCCCACCGGCACCTGGCTCTGCCCCCGCGGAGTCTCTCGGTGCCCTTGTCCTTGCTGACTGGCTCTTACGCAGGTGGGACAGAGGGTTCAGGACAGGTCAGGGACCACGGCCCTCAGGCAGGCCCCATTGGACCCGAGCTGGCCCATGTCACCAAGCCGCCAGGCCGAGGTTCTGGGGCTGGGAGGGTGGGGGGTCACCACCTGGCGTCTGAGGAAGTGGGAGCGGCCCTGTCATTTGCTGACTCGGATATGACTGTCCCCACCCGCTGCCAATGACTTGGGGAGCCCCAGGAGATGCCCACAGGGCTGCCAGCGCCAGGCTTTGGGGTGCAGCCCATCTACGTGTGTGACCTTTCTGACAGAGGGGTGGCCAGTGACGTCCATCCACACCAGACTTTCCTGTGTGGTCCCCTTACAGCTGGGGCCCCGGCCCTACCTGGGGGGTGGGGGGCAAGGATTGCTGGGAGGTGTAACTCTGGTAACCAGGCTGACTGGACTGGGACACCTGGCCGAGGAGCAGGGGCCTCAGGTCTCAGACCCCCTCACCCCTCCTGCCCTCACTCATCCTGGTCTCAGGGTCTGGGCCAGTGGGAAGTTCCTGGGTGACGGAGCCCTGGGTGCCAAAGGCAGGTTGGGAAAGGCCTGTGTGGGCAGCAGAGCATGCCAAGTGCCCGGGCTCATGGTGGATTGCTGGTGGGGGAGAGGGGAGCGTCCACCACTTCCACACCGGGCCAGGCTAGGCTGTGGACACAGCACCAAGCACAGACCAATGAACTGTGTCCCTGGGGCCTCATCTCCTTGTGGACCTGCTGCTGTGGTCAGCCCTGAGAACAGCAGAGGGGGTGCCCTGCAGCAGGGCCAACGGGCTTCCTAGAGGTGGCATCACCTGACCTAAGTCTCTGGGATAGGAGACCTTACTGAAGGGCACCGTTGAGCCCTCTGGGGATTCCACCTGTTGGGGCAGGGCCTCTCTGTCGAGGGATCCTGCCTAGCCCCCAGATAGTCCCATGGAGCTTTCAGGTACGGGAGGGCACACCTCACACTCCTGGTTCCACCTGGCCATTAATCCAGTGTGAGCGGACACACCTAAGAGTGGCCCAACTTGCAGGTGTCCCCCTGCCTGGGCACCAGGCCCTCTAGTGGTGGTCTCTGGGCCCAACTGTTTGTGAGTCCTTGGGTTTGGGGCGTGTCAGACCTCCGTGGCTTCACTGACCCGTCCGTCCTCCCACAGGCCCTGCTGGTGCTTGCGGTCCTGGCCTACATCCACGTCGCCTTCTCCCGCTCGCCCATCAACTGCCTGGAGCACGTGCGGGAGCACTGGCCTCGCGAGGGTGTCCTGCGTGTCGAGGTCCAGCACAACTCCAGCCGCGCGCCCGTCTTCCTGCAGTTCTGTGAGGGCAGCGCCCGCCGTGGCGGCTTCCCAGGCCTGGAGCTGGAGGAGGATGACGAGGAGGAGGAACTGACCATGGAGATGTTCGGGAACAGCTCTGTCCAGGTACGGGCTGCCCCTGCCGGTGAGGGGGACAGTGGCCAGTTGATTCTCTGGTGGAGGAGGGGGCCCGGGTGGTGAGTTCCCCATTACCGTGCATGTGCAAGTGCTGCCCTGCTCTGGAGTCAGGGCCTGGGTCTCAGGGAGGAGATGAGACCCTGACTCAGATCTCCACCTGGCCATGGACGTAGTGCGGGGGTAGGGGTGGGGCTGGGGGGCTGGGATTCCCGGCGGCCGGTGCTGGCTCACGCAGGTCCTGGTGCCCACAGTTTGAGCTGGACATCGAGCCCAAGGTATTCAAGCCGCTGGGCAGCAGGGACACACTTAACAGCAGCCAAGACTTCCCCTTCCCTGAGACGCCCCCCAAAGGTAGGCCCCCCAAACCCTGAATCAGAGAAGGGCACCCCGATTGCCCGGGACTCTCGGACTCCCTAGTCCTGTTCCAGGGCCTTTGTGCCCCACCCTCCCATGATGGGGCAGGGAAACCCCCTCCATCTGGCAGGGTGTGGTGTGGGGTACACCAGACGTGCAGCTATTCCTGAGATGTCAGACCCTGCCCCTGGCCCCTCTAATTCTGCCCCCACCCCACCCTTCGCCCCAGCCTGCCCCACCTACCCCGCCCCTGCAGTGCTCCCCCAGAGTGGCCCCCCAGGCCTCGCTCCCTTAGGCTCATCCCTCGCTGCCCCGCCCTAGCCTGGCCGCAGGACGAGTACATCGTGGAGTACTCGCTGGAGTACGGCTTCCTGCGGCTCTCGCAGGCCACGCGGCAGCGCCTGAGCATCCCCGTCATGGTCGTCACGCTGGGTGAGTGCAGTGCGGGCCGTGGGCTTTGGGTGGACAGGGGGCCGTGCTGACCGCCTACCCTGTGGGCCCCCAGACCCGACCCGAGACCAGTGCTTCGGTGACCGGTTCAGCCGCCTGCTGCTGGACGAGTTCCTGGGCTATGACGACATCCTCATGTCCAGTGTGAAGGGCCTGGCGGAGAACGAGGAGAACAAGGGTGCGCCGGTGGGCAGGGGCCTGGTGGACGAGGAGGGGGCCAGGGCACACAGGTGACACCCCTGCTCCCCAGGCTTCCTGCGGAACGTGGTCTCGGGCGAGCATTACCGCTTCGTCAGCATGTGGATGGCCCGCACGTCCTACCTGGCGGCCTTTGTCATCATGGTCGTCTTTGTGAGTGGGCCCCCGGAGCCCTGGACACGCCTGCCCTGGTGGGCTGTGGGCAGCCCATGGGGGTGGGTGGGGCAGCAGGAGGCCCTTCCCCTCAGACGTTCACCTTCCCGAGTGTCCCCACAGACCCTGAGTGTGTCCATGCTTCTGCGCTACTCCCACCACCAGATCTTCGTCTTCATCGGTGAGTACTGGGCACTGGTGGGTACACCCAGCCCCTCCCCTCGCCAAGCGCCCCTCCCCTCCCCTCACGGCCTCGTTCCCCCAGTGGACCTGCTGCAGATGCTGGAGATGAACATGGCTGTCGCCTTCCCCGCCGCACCCCTCCTGACCGTCATCCTGGCCCTTGTCGGTGAGACCCACCCCCTTCCGCACCCCTGCCTGCACCCCACCCAGTGCCCACACCCCTGACCCCCCCAATCCCTGCCGTGCAGGCATGGAGGCCATCATGTCCGAGTTCTTCAATGACACCACCACGGCCTTCTACATCATCCTCATCGTGTGGCTGGCTGACCAGTATGACGCCATCTGCTGCCACACGAGCACCAGCAGGCGCCACTGGCTGCGGTGAGTTCCCCT